AACCCAGTGTCGCGCATGGAGTTGCGGTGGCAGGCATGGCGAAGGGCGAGCTGGACAAGGGTTGGAGCTTGGCCTTCAGCGCGACGGCCCCCAGCACGGCGGGCAGGTCGCACACGCTCTCCCTGATGCTGCAGCCTGGCTTGGGTCCCGTCATCCACGCAACGCTGGCACCCGTGATGATGCTACTCCGAGCGCGGTGGGAAGGCCGGGCCCCGTCTCACATGATGGACTTGCGCCTGTGCGACGACAGGGCCACGAAGTGGACGCGCGTCCAAGGCCCGTTGTCGGCTGTTGCGGTGGCGTCCCGGCGCGCGGGCGGGCGCGTCATGGACCGCGGGCGGTGGAGGTGCCGCGACGGGTCGATCCTAGGGCCCTGCGACACAGCCCCCTGGGTCGTCAAGAAGCTGCTGCTGAGGGCCATTGAGCAGTGGCAGCGGCAGCAAGTGGCCGCCTCGCCGGGCAGCGAGCACGTGGCCAGTGGCGGTGCCCTTGGGCCGCCAGCGCGGCCCACGACGTCGGGCATCGTCGACAGCGCGCGCGAGCAGAGAGAGCCAGGGCAGAGCGTCAGCAGGAGGGCGAGGCCCACCGCGAAGGAGAAGGGCTACGCAGCTTCGCTGGTCACCCACGGGCAGTGGCCGCAGGCGAGGAAGGCGGATACAGGCATGGTGGCCTCGGACGCGTGTCTCCTATGCGGGGCGAGAGGCACGCTGCTGCACAGGCATTGCCACTGCGACGCTTGGAAGGAGGCGCTGACTACGCCGGCTGCGGTTCCCTCCCTGAGAGGCTGATCGGACACGCAGGAGGTGGCGCTGCTGCTGGAGAGGTGCACGCGGCCAGCCCAGTCGGGCCTCTGCAGGCCCACGCCTTCCAGCAGCATCTGCTGGCGTGGACAGCATGATGGGGTCGCGCCTCCAGGGGGCACCTGCTTGGACGGGTCGGCCTTCGAGGTTGGGTTCGACGGCTGCGCGTCCGTGGGTTGGAGCCTGGTGGCGCTGAAGCCTGATGGCGATGAGTACCTCATGTCGGTCGCGGGTCAGCTGTGCGAGCCGAACGTGGGCATCAACGGCGGGGGGCTCATGGCCTTTATCATGCTGATACGGCTGGGGATGGCTCCTATCGTGGCAGTCGTGGACTCCAAGTACGTGTTCAACGGGGTCATGAAGGATGGTCGTCCAAGCAACACGTGCCACTGCCACACGTGGGCACATATGTGGCGCGTGGCCTGGGACCTCATCGACGACCTCGGAGGCGTTGGAGAGACTGGCGCGCGAGCACGTTGGGTGCGAGCACACCAGACGCAGCGACAGGTGCGTGACGGAGCGATCACCTACCGTGACTGGCTGGGCAACAAGTACGCGGACGTGGCAGCCAGGTCAGCAGCGGAGGCAGGCAGGACTGCGGCTGCGGATCGCGCTAAGCTGCAGGCCGGACGTAGCCTCGTGGACGGGGTCGCGATGTGGGGTAGCGCCGTGGACAGCTGGGCCCAGGGCAGCGCGCCGCGGAACGCCGTGCAGAGAGGAAGGAGGACGCCAGCAACACGCGCGACCTGCGCGGGGCTCCAGGGAAGCAGCGGTGCGCACATTGCAGGTGGCAGAGTCGGCAAGGCGAGTGCCCGGGCTCCATCCTGGAGGAGGCGATGAAGGGAACGGGGTACTGAAGGCCCGCGGCCTTCCAGCCCATCGGCTCGTGAGGATCGAGCCGCAGGTGACGCGCAGCTGGAGAGGAAGATGCCCCTGGTGGCGTGCCTCTGCTGCGGGGCCACTGGCGCGGCGCGAGCCAGCAGCTTCACCAGGCGCTGCGGGCCGCCGACACCTACGGGCAAGGCGGCGCTGGCGAGGCTGGAGAACAAGCTGGCGCCCAAGGTGTCCAGCAGAGTGGCCTTCGAGATACGCGACCTTGTCGAGGGCGGCAGCGATGCCACTGCACTGATGTCCAGCCAGGCTGCCGCATGAAATCGCGGCTATTTGCAGTTCAAGTTGAGGAGGCTACGGACACGGATGTGGCGGAGGCGGCTGGTCTGGCCTCCACGACGAGCGGGCTCGACGCGGCGACTCCCAGAGGGGTGGAAGAGCCGCCAGTGCGGCGCCACCAGGGGGCCCTGCCGCGGTCGCACCGACCTGCAGGCGGGGGCGAGGAGGAACGGGCGCCGCTGCGGCGACCGACGAGGCGGTGCGAGGCAAGGTCGCGTCGCTCCTCGAGGCCTATCGCCGCAGCTGCGCCGCTGCGGAGCCGCGCGGCGCTGCTCGGAGCCCCTCGGCGCGGGCGGCCAGCTGTCGGCCCGCCCTTGGATTGGTACTCCGACCAGAGGCTTGGGGAGCTTATGGCGCCGGTGGCGGCCGAGCCGGGGGTCGATCCGTGAGGGGCGGGGGCCATAGTGGGCGCTCCGAAAGGAACTCGCGAAGCCCCCGCCCCAAAGCGGCTCTCGCCGAGGCGAAGTCGTCGGAGCCGAGCGACGAGCTTCCCGCGCCACCTCGGGAACTCCGGCGGCCAGAGGCTCGCGTTGCACATGGCGCTGCATGCTGGGGCGGCGCTGGCCGCGCGGCCGAGGAGCGGCTCAGCGGCGCGCGGGCCTCCCACCTCGACGCGTGCGTCGGGCTCGGAGGGCATGGACCGAGTGGATAAACTCAAGCTAGGTGCGCTCGCGTCATATCTGACATCCGACCCCTCCCTCCCATCCCTTACCCTGGCGCAGATCCCCTCTCTACTCGCACAGTCGGATGTCGAGCAGGGCAACGATCCCGAAAGGGTACGCGATGCATTGTAGCGCACGGCATGGCATGGCGTAGAAGAGCACCGCAAAGCGCAGTATCAACTTAGCATTGCATTGCGCGCCGTGGCATGGCACGGGAAATGACGCCAGCGCTGCAGCGGGAGCACGAGTCGAAACGAGCGGAAGCGCGGAAATGACGCCAGCGCTGCAGCGGGAGCACGAGTCGAAACGAGCGGAAGCGCGGAAATGAGGCCAGCGCTGCAGCGGGAGCACGATTCGGAACGAACGGGGCCCGAAAATGAGGCCGGCGCCTCAGCGAGAGCAGCATTTTGAAAAAATGCCAGCGAAACCCAACTCCCGGGAAACCTGCGTGCAAAAAAACAGGACGCGGGGGGGGGGGGGGGGGGGCAACACACCCCGCACGTCATCAGGGGAAGAGGGAGAGTAGTATTCACATTGAGTAATTGTTCAAGGGTGCTGAGCACGTCATCAGGGGAAGAGGGAGAGTAGTATTCACATTGAGTAATTGTTCAAGGGTGCTGAGGAATCCTTCGGCGAGGCCGGCTCGACGTCATCCTCGCCCTGGCCTGGCCTCGGTGACGAGCGGGCTGGGCGCGGCGACTCCCGAAGGGGTGGAGGAGCCGCCAGTGCGGCGCCACCAGGGGCCCCTACCGCGGCCTCACCGACCTGCAGGCACGGGCGAGGGGGACGCGTTGGACTCCGCAGCGGCGACCAGGGAGGCGGTGCGAGGCCAGGCCGCGTCGTTCCTCGAGGCCGACCGCCGCGGCTGCGCCGCTGCGGGGCCGAGCGGCGCCATCGGCGCGTGCATCGGGCACCAGCAGGGGGGCTCCCACCAGGATGCAGGCGAGCAGGGGCTGCTGACTCTGGCGGCGGCTAGAACGCAAATCCCAGCCCCCAGGGGCACCCACGAGGTATACGGCGCGTGGGGCTGGGCACAGTCGCCAAGGTTTTTGCTGGAGCCTGTCCCCTGGTGCACCCAACGGGTAAACAGCGCGCGGGGCAGGCCCGCCTCGGCGAGTGCACCTGGAGGCGGTGCCATCGCAGCTCATGGTTCGACCTCGGGGGCGCCGAGGAGCCATTCAGCGAGTTCGGCTCGACGACATCCTTCCCCTGGCCTGGCCTCGGTGGACAGCGGGCTGAGCGTGGCGGACCCCAGAGGAGTGGAAGGGCCGCCAGAGCGGCGCCACCAGGGGCCCCTGCCGCGGTCTCAGCGACCTGCAGGCGGGGGCAAGGAGCGGTTCAGCGGCACGCGGGCCTCCCACCTCGACATGTGCGTCGGGTTCGGCGGGCATGGACCGAGTGGTTCAACTTCTGGGGTGCCGAGGAGCCCTTCGGCGAGGTCAGCTCGACGTCATCCCCCCCGGCCTGGCCTCGGTGACGAGAGGGCTGGACGTGGCGACTCCCAGAGGGGTGGAAGAGCCGCCAGTGAGGCGCCACCAGGTGCCCCTGCCGCGGTCGCACCGACCTGCAGGCGGGGGTGAGGTGGACATAAAAATCGCCACAGCGGCGACCGACGAGGCGGTGCGTGGCAAGGTCGCGTCGCTTCTCGCGGCCGACCGCCGCGGCTGCGCCGCTGCGGGGCTGAGCGGTGCCGCGGGCGAGCGCACGTCCGACCCAAGGGGCCCCCGTGGGGCCGAGCCTGGTCGGGCTGCTGGATTCGTCTCGGATCCTGGCGGTGTGGGGCCCCTGGTGGTCTCCGCGGGGCCCGTCCTTGGGGTGCCGCCTGGCCCGAGGGCTCGGGGATGAGTGCGGGTGTCCAGCACCCCGCGCTGCGGGGTGCTAGGTGCTTGCACTCACGCGGCGTCGGGTCTCCTCGTCGCCTGGGACCGTGCTTGTGCACGGCAGCGAGGCGAGACGGCGTGACCGTTCGCCTTCAGGCCGCGCGCGTCCTCCTCCTCCTCCTCCTCCTCCTCCTCCTCCTCCTCCTCCCTCCTCCTCTCCCTCCTCCTCCTCCTCCTCCTCCTCCTCCTCATGCGGTCACGCTCCAACTTCTCCTCCTCGTCTTCCTCCTCCTCCTCCTCCTCCTCCTCCTCCTCCTCCTCCTCCTCCTTGTCCTCCATCTCCTCCTCATCCTCCTCCTCCTTCTCCACCTCGTCCTCGTCCTTTCTTACGATTGGTCTCCCAGCAGCGATTGCACATAGGGGTTTTGACTTGCTTGTCAAAAGAACTGGGCCTGCGGGTCGGTCTGGCGGCTATGTTCCTCCTCCTCCTCCTCCTCCTCCTCCTCCTCCTCCTCCTCCTCCGCCTCCCTGCCCTCCTCCGCCCGCAGGCGGCGCCCCTGCGAGCGACCCCCACGGGGCGGTGCCCGTGGGCAACGACAGGCAGGTGAGCGTCGCCGGCTGCTCCCACGCCACCGTCTCGGGCATCGTCACCGGCTCCTTCACGGCGGTGAGACCCGCGCCTCGCGCGCCACCGGGGGGGGGGGCGGGCGCATGGGGCGAAGGGCGGCCTCGCCCGAGCAGGGTGCCCCAGGCTCCTCCCCCGGGGGCCCCGACAGAGGGGGGGGGAAGACGGGCCCCAGGGGCGAAAGAAGGACGTACGCGTACAGTGGAGACTCGTGCCCAAAAAGCACCCTGCTTGCCTCCAGGGTGCCCTGGGCTTCTTGGGTTTCGATGATTTTGCTGTGGACGGCGTGACCTTCCCACACTAGAAATCAATGGACGTCCTGGGGTCTCAGGGTTGGGTTTCTTTGGGAAGGTTTCTCGTGAACTAGCCCCCACTGTACATGAACCCACGTTGGTTTCGACAGCACGCGTTGCGCGAACGTTCGTGGCACGAGGCCTGTCTCGCGGGCTGGCGGGGGGGCCGTATCCATGCACGCGGTTGGGCGCGTTCGTCCTCTGTGGGCTCCCTGTGGCTGGGCTGGCTCCATGTAGGAGCAGCCCTTCGCGCTGGAGCGACCTCCGGGTGCGCGGCTTGCGGAGGTGGCGGTCTGGGACCAGGCCCAAGCGCGCGGGCCGCCGCCGTGGCGCCGCACGCAACGGCTGGCAGGCCGCGCCGTCCAGAGGTCACTCCTGCTCCTGCCTAGGGTCGCTCTTACCTGTAGCCGACTTGGGACAGGGGGGGAGGATCTAGGCTTATCTTGTTCCAACCTACCTTAGCCTGGATCGCCAGAAGAAATTTCGAGCACCACAGAAGGACACAGAAACTCGAAGGTTTTCACGTGCCGGGCCCTGGGAGGCACTCGTCCGACACTGTTTCGACACTCTTTCGACACTTTTCCGGGTGCTCGAAATCATTTCTGGGATGTGGTCCTGAAGTACGATGGGAGCAACATAAATCTAGGCCTCCTCGATGGGGTCGGAGTAGATGGGGTCGGAGGATCGCTCCGCATCGCCGATGCGGCTCTATGTGGAGCCCGTGTTTCTCCACGCCGACGTCGCTGGTGCGTCGCCGACGTCGGCGATGCATCTTCAGTGCATCGCCGCTGCATCGCCCATGCATCGCCGATGCGTCGCCGATGCATCGGCGATCTGGCGTGATCCTCCGACCCCAGCTGCTCGGACCCCCTCTAGGAAGCCTCTGGAGGAGGCATCGACCCCCAATTTCTCAGGAGAGGAAAACACACGCAGACACAATTCATCGTCGATTCCCCCGAACATATGGGAAAAGATGGGAAGGGGGGGAAGACGAAAACCCCCAAACATATTGGAAAATATGGGGAATATGTTTATTCCCTACCTAGGCTCTGCCTAGAAGGGTTCTTACTCGGTATGCTCAAAGGGCCGGGCAGTGCAACTCGCCCCGGGCGGTTCCCCCAGTATCCGCCCTGCGGTTCCCCCAGTTACGTCCCCTTAGCTTAGCGTTGCTTCTCTCATTTTAGCTGAGCTTATTTCATCTTAGCTTCATCTTAGCTTAACTTGGCTTCATATAGATGTTGCTATCCTAGATCCTCCAACTCCTAGGTAGGGTCGCACTGGGATAATTCGTGTGTATTTATTTGTGCGTCCTGGGGCCCCTTCAACCGTCGTATTTGTGTATTCATCGTCGATTCCCCCGAACCTGTGGGGAAAGAGGGGAAGGGGGGGGGGGAGACGAAAGCCCCCCAAAAGCTTGGAAAATAGTGGGAAAATATGTTTATTTGTTTGTATTTCTTTGTGTGTGTCCTGGGGCCCCTTCCCCGGCAGAGCCACCCCCCCCCCTCCCCCATCCCCCACCCCACCCCACCCCCCCTTCCCCCCCCCCCTTTCCCCGGCAGAGCCACCCCGGCAACCCCCCCCAGAGGCTGAGGCTCAGCCTCGAGGCTGTAGCTGAGACTCCTTGAAACTCACACGCCGGATCGGCGGATTTGTTTGTGTGTGTCCTGGGGCCCCTTCAGTTTCCCAGTCCCCGCCGCCGATCGGGGCCCGGGGTGCCCCCGCCTGCCCAGCGGCGCTAGCGCGGGGGCTCCCCCGCCGGGAGCCTGCCGCCGCTCTGCCGGCGACGCAGCGTCGGCTCCCAGAGCACTGCCGCTCCCCCCTGGGCTCGGGAGGGGAAAAAAAAAGACACGCAGACAGCTGGCTCCGGGCATTCAAAATGTGGCCTGGGAATGGTGTTCTGGGAATGGATCCCCAAGGATTCGCAAGAATTCCTAAGGATTCCTCCGGGTTCTGGCGGACCCTGCCGGATACCCTGTCCGGGTCCCGCCCAGACGCCCTTGGGGTGTCAAGATGCTCTCTTTTGACCCCACTAGAAACCTATCAGCAAGAGTTGTTAGGTAAAAACACAGACACAATTCATCGTCGATTCCCCAGAAAAAATGGGAACACATGGGGAATCTCGTTATTTGTGTCTACTTATCTGTGTGTCCCAGGGCCCCTTCCTGGGTCTCCCGCTGCCAGTCTCCGGTCGCCATGTGCGCGGGAGCGCATGGAGGAAGACTTCCTACGACACGCGAGAGCTCGCCAGTCTCTCCTCGTCCTCCCCACTCCTCCTCCCCCCATCCTCGTGAGCGGATTCGTGCGCCATGGCTTGCAGCGCCAGCCGCAGAGCCTGCAGTGTTTTCCCCGCCTGTGCCCTACGTGGCCGCCCCCTGTGGGCATACAGGCCTGACCCGACCTGACCTACTCCCCCCCTATGAGCGAGCACCCGCTTTCGGCTCCCCCCTCACTTCTGGGATGCCCTCCTGGGGTCGAAGAACAAGGCATCAAGTGGCATTCGGCCCATCCCACCACCGTGGTCAGAGGCTCCTTGGACGCCTGTAAGGATATACTGGGAGACCTCTCGGAAGCCTCTTGGAAACGATTTTTGGATGGTTTGGGGAGTCTCGGGGGCCCCTTGGCGGCTGATTTGGGCCTCTCGGGGCTTCTTGCTGGCCTTCTAAGGCCTCTTGGGAGCACCTCGGGGGCCTTTGTGGGATCTTGGTGCAATCTTGGCGCGGAGGGCTCAAAATGTCCTTTCGTGCTCCCCCTCTTGGGCCCATCTCGGAGATGTCTTGGGGGCTTTTTGGGCCGTTTCTGGGCGATCTTGGGCGCCTCTTGGGCCGTTTTGGACGCTCTGAAGACAGAAAATTAGCTTGGCGAAGGACCCAACCATATGCAGTTGTGAGTAATGCTGGTGTGAGTACCGTCTTCGGTGGATCTCCCTATGGGGCCACGAACCGTTTGAGGGGTGTGCCGAAATGGGTGTGGGGACGGCATGCGAACGTTGCCATTGGGGCCTTCGGTGGAGCTTCTTATGGGGCCACGAAACGTGTGAGGGGTGCACCGAAGTTGGTGTGGGGGCGGCATGCGAACGCAGCCACTGGGGCCTTCGGTGGAGCTCCCTGTGGGGCCACGAAACGTGTGAGGGGTGTGCCGAAATGGGTGTGGGGGCGGCATGCGAACGCAGCCACTGGGGCCTTCGGTGGAGCTCCCTATGGTGCCACGAAACGTGTGAGGGGTGTGCCGAAATGGGTGTGCGGGAGGCATGCGAACCCTGGGGCCGACCCTGGGGCCTTCGGTGGAGCTCCCTATGGGGCCACGAAACGTGTGAGGGGTGTGCCGAAATGGGTGGTGGGGAGGCATGCGGACCCTGCCACTGGGGCCTTCGGTGGAGCTCCCTATGGGGCCACGAAACGTGTGAGGGGTGTGCCGAAATGGTTGGGGGGGAGGCATGCGGACCCTGCCACTGGGGCCTTCGGTGGAGCTCCCTATGGGGCCACGAAACGTGTGAGGGGTGTGCCGAAATGGGGGTGGGAGGCTTGCGGACCCTGCACTGGGGCCTGGTGGAGCTCCTTATGGGGCACGAAACGCGTGCCGAAAATGGATGGTGGGGAGCATGCGGACCCTGCCACTGGTGCCTTCGGTGGAGCTCCCTATGGGCCACGAACGTGTGAGCGGTGTGCCGAAATGGGTGGTGGGGAGCATGCGGACCCTGCCACTGGGGCCTTCGGTGGAGCTCCCTATGGGGCCACGAAACGTGTGAGGGGTGTGCCGAAATGGGTGGTGGGGAGGCATGCGGACCCTGCCACTGGGGCCTTCGGTGGAGCTCCCTATGGGGCCACGAAACGTGTGAGGGGTGTGCCGAAATGGGTGGTGGGAGGCATGCGAACGCAGCCACTGGGGCCTTCGGTGGAGCTCCCTATGGGGCCACGAAACGTGTGAGGGGTGTGCCGAAATGGGTGGTGGGGAGGCATGCGGACCCTGCCACTGGGGCCTTCGGTGGAGCTCCCTATGGGGCCACGAAACGTGTGAGGGGTGTGCCGAAATGGGTGGGGAGGCATGCGGACCCTGCCACTGGGGCCTTCGGTGGAGCTCCCTATGGGGCCACGAAACGTGTGAGGGTGTGCCGAAATGGGTGGTGGGGAGGCATGCGGACCCTGCCACTGGGCCTTCGGTGGAGCTCCTATGGGGCCACGAAACGTGTGAGGGGTGTGCCGAAATGGGTGGTGGGGAGGCATGCGACGATGAATGGCCACGAAAACGTGTGAGGGGTGTGCCGAAATCGGTGGTGATGATGATGATGATGATGATGATGATGATGATGATGATGAAGATGAAGATGAAGATGAAGATGAGATGATGATGATGATGATGATGATGATGATGATGATGATGATGATGATGATGATGATGATGATGATGATGATGATGATGATGATGATGATGATGATGATGATGATGATGATGATGATGATGATGATGATGATGATGATGATGATGATGATGATGATGATGATGATGATGATGATGATGATGATGGGAGGAGGGAGGGGGGGGGAGGAGGAGGAGGTGAGGAACGCGGGGCGCCGTCTCTTCAAAACGAGGACCCAACACCACAGGATGCTTGGGACAAAAACAGTAATGCTAAAACTATGCAAGAATCAATGTATTCTGACGATGTTGGCCTCTTGGGCCGCCCTCCAGGCCCTCCAAGACGGCCCAGGAAGCGTCCAAGACCCCTCATCCACAGTCCTTCACAGTCCTCGGGGCCATCTTAGGCCATATTGGACATGCTTGTCCCAGAAACGCGCCCATGGCCTTTGGAAACGACACGCGGGGAAACCCCGGGAGCGCCTGGAACTCAGGGCTTCGGGAGCCTTGAGACGGGGGTCGATGCAAACGGGGGTCAGCCAGAGCGCCAGGTCTTGCAGGATCTTGCGAAGACCCCCTCTGGCTGACCCGGATTTGCGAAAACCTGCGTTGCAGTTTGTTTTTTCCTGCATTGCAGTTTTTTGGTTTCCTGCTTACCCGGGTCTGGATTGACCCGGGTCAGAAGATCCCCGAGGGCTGCGGGCACCTTGGATAATATTTGCAACATATTCATACGTATAAGGCAGAGAACTCGCAGGGACCTGAGGACTCCAACACGTGCCTCGGGGCACGGTGGCGGAGACTGCATAGGAGGATAAGTGCGTGGAGGTCCGCTCAGATTTTTCCCAGGATGGCGCTGCCCCGGCCCCCCCTTGGGCGGCGCCTCCAGCGCCGGCCCGAGAAATCCGCGCGGACCTCCGAAAGTTTATGTATATGGAGGTCATTGTTCTTCTGATGAAGGCCACGGAGCCGGCATTGCACCGCAGGAGGAGGAGGAGGAGGAGGAAGAGGAGGAGGAGGAGGAGGAGGAGGGATGAGGACGGAAGAGGACGGAGGAAGAGGAGGAAGAGAGGGAGGAGGACGAGGAGGACGAGGAGGAGGAAGAAGAGGAGGATGAGTAGGCAGGAGGTGGAGGAGGAGGAGGAGAACGGCGGAGGAGGAGGAGGAGGGAGGAGGAGGAGGAGGGAGGAGAATTCTGTTGGATTCTGCTAGCCTGCTCTCCGAAGTTGCGAATCACGCACAGCGGCGGCGATGGAAGCTTCCTCTACCCCAGGCCGTCCCTGGGCGACAAGGTTCGACTTTGCACATGTGGACATGAAAGGGGCCGACTTCTCGCAAGCCTGTTGTGCACGCCTGCGCCCTTCTCGCACGAGCTGGTCGCATCGCTGTAGCTGCTGCCACTGCCTGCCTTCTCGCACGAGCTCCCGTTTTCAAATTGTAACTGGTAGCACTTGGCGCCAGCTTCACCCTCTTCCACCCTGGTCCCCTCGTAGTGGGGCCATGGGGCGGGCTTGGCTCTGCTTCACCCACTTCACCCTGGTCTCCGCCTTGCGGCAGGGGTCGTGGAGCGGGCCTGGCTCGGCTTCACACCCTGCCCTTCTTCACACTTCTCGCAATGACCGCGTGCATTGGAATTCCTTCCTGCTCGCATGAACTCCTCCCAGCAGTGAAGCTGAGATGTCTCCCACTGCCCGCCTTTGCAAACGAACTTCTCCCAGCGTTGTAGCTGATACGTCGCTAACTGCCGCCCTTCGCCCATGAACTACTCCCAGCGTTGTAGCGTATGTGTCGTTCGCTGCACGCCTTCTCGCGTGAACTGCTCCCAGCGTTGGAGCCGATGTGTCGTCCACTGCCTGCGCCTTCTCGCGTGAACTGCTCCCAGCGTTGCAGCCGATGCGGTGCTCACTGCCTGCCCTGTCGCGTAAACTACTCCCGGCGCTGGAGCCCTGCCTGCCTTCTCGCATGGACTGCTCCCAGCATTGGAGCTGATATGCCGTCCACGTCCTGCCGCACTGATCAGCGACAGCGATTGCTGCCACTGCTCGGCCTTCTCGCACGCACAAGCTGACCCCAGCCCTGTAACGAATGGCGTTGGCCCGCGCGGCCTTTGGAGCTCGAGCTGCCACCCACAGCTCCTCCTCGCACGACTGCTCCCTGTGTTGTAGCTGATCCTTCGCCAAATGCCCCCCTCCTAGCATGAACAACTCCCAGCGTTGTACCTGACATGTCGCCCACTGCTTGCCTGGAGCTCGAGTTTCGCCTCCAGCTCCTCCTCGCACGCACGACTCCCAGCGTCGTATTTGGTCTTGGCTGCTCACTGCCGCCCTTCCCGCACGAGTGGATCCCAGCGCTGTAACCGATTTGCTCTCGCACGGCTGCGCTGATCCCAGCATTATAGCCGAAGACGTTGATCACCAGTGTCTCCCTGCACGTTGCCCGCGGTCTTCGGCTGGGCACCAGGAGTTGAAAGAGGAGGGACGCCGGTCTCAGAGTTGGGTTTCTTGTGGAAGGTTTCTTGTGGTCGGGCCCCTACTGTACTCTTGCCTAGTTCTTAGGACCTCCTCTTTCGCTGCCGCCGTTGTCAGTGAACGTCGCTTATTATTGGTAATTGTACTGTCCGCAGCTGTATGCGTTCGTCGTCCACCGTCGCGGCCGGCCGATGACCCGCCTTCTTGACGGCTCGCCTTCTTGACGGCTCTCTGGCGACTCGGGCCGCGCACGGCCGTTGGATTCCACAGTCGATGCGTGTGCATGGCTTCCGTGGACACTGCCACTTTCAAGTTTGGCTCACCGGAACACTCTGACCCCCGCGCACAGGCCCCTGCGTGGATAATGGCTTGGGAGGAGGAGGCGGAGGAGGAGGAGGCGGAGGAGAAGTTGAAGGAGGAGAAGGAGGGAGGAGGAGGGAGGAGGGAGGAGGGAGGAGGGAGGAGGTGCGGAGGGAGGAGGGAGGAGGAGGAAGGGAGGAGGGGAGGAGGAAGGAGGAGGAGGAGGAGGGAGGGAGGAGGAGGAGCGAGAGGAGGATGGTAGAGAAGGAGGAGGCAGGAGGAGGAGGAGGCGGAGGTGGAGTGGGGAGGGAGCGAGGGAGAGAGGGAGGGAGGGGGGGAGGAGGGTTGGAGGGCTGGAGGAGGGAGGAGCGAGGAGGGAGAGGAGAGAGGAGCATGGATGGAGGATGGAAGGCCGACCCCCTTGCCGATCCCGTTCGGCGCACCCGCCGAGGTGACGCAGAATCACGGGAAGCCCGCGTACAAGAAGGATTCCCAGGCTGCTGGGGCGGGGGGGGGAAGGAGGAGGAGGAGGTGGAGGAGGAGGAGGTGGAGCGTGGCCTGCGGAGGAGGAGGAGGAGGAGAAGGAGCATTGCGGGGTGAAGAAGGAGGAGAAGGGAGGGAGGAGGAGGTCGAGGAGACGAAGGAGGAGGAGGAGATGGAGGAGGAGGAGGAGTTGGGATGTCGCTTCATCCAATGGGTTGGTCGAACCTCAACTTGACATACAACCAAAACAGAGAGATGATAATTGTGTTGGGAGGCTGCTATCTCCCGAGGCGGGATCACTCTGAACTAACTGACAGTTTTCACATACACACACACATACAGCATCTTTCCCACGCCCTCGTTTCGAGTAACAGCCGCACATGCTGCATTCAAAGGCAAACCATACGGGAACTCCGCAAAGTACACATTACAATCCTTGGTACTTTGCAAGGCATCCGTGAGCCTACGCTTGCACATGAGCTAGCAAATCGTTCGAAGTGGGCCCACGAAGTTCCACCCGGCTCCATGGTATAGCCACAAAAAGATCTTCGGTGGCATATGAGATTTGTATGTTTGGTTTTCCCCTTACGCGTTTTCGAAGAGGGCCCAAGTAACATAGTCGGAACAATGCTGAGCTCGTTAGTTGTGTCCTTATGATCTGATTTGCAAGCGAAGTGAAGGGGAGAGAAGAGGATGAGGAGGGAAGAGGAGGAGGAGGAGCCCTCGCCTCACTCGGCATGGTGCAGAGGTGAACGGCCTTGACGTGATGCTGTACTTCTGGGACGAGCGCGATGGGAAGGCGGACGGTGGAGCCTGCTATGCCCTGCCATGTGATCGTCGTGGTCACCGCCGCCGCCGTCGCTGTCGTCTCTTCTTCTCCCTCTTGGTCGTCCTCGCCGTTGCCGTCTTCGTCGTCGCGGGAGGCCTCAGAGGACAGGCTCTGGCGTGATAGGCTCAGGGGGGCATGCATCGACCCCCAGTCGCCCACTCATCGCCGATGGTCCGATAGCCCAACACCTCGCAGGAACGAGCGGTTCCGCTATCGGTGGCCTACCGCCGATCTACCGGCGATGTATCATCGATTCCAGGTCGATGCTTCCCCTCTGGAGCTGGTCCTCCCTATCGTTGCCGCTCAAGGACGAGGGGGAGGAGTTGGGGGAAGAGGGCAAAGGTGAGTGAGTGAGCCAACTGCGGGGCGATGCAATCTTCGATGACCGGCCAATGGGTTAACACCCCGAGCGCCATGAAGAGTGTTACGGGAAGGGTTGGCGCAGTTTTGGCGCATGCCCAGGGCTAACCCACCGCATCTGTATAGTATAGCCATTGACGGGGCTAGAAGTGCTCGCCACGACCACGTTCCTCAGATTCTCACGATTGGGTACCTCAGCAAAACTTTGCGCGGTGTCTCATACGCTGAATTTCTACATGTCCCACCGCTCGAGACGAACCTCACTCACCGATTTGGCTCGCAAAATCCGGCGTACAGATGCAGTCGAGAGTTATGGTTGTGATTTGCTTCACGACGATGTGTTCTTACCCTGGGGGGGGGGAGTTGCTGTCCCTGTCGCTCGGGAAGCACCCAGCTTGGCCAGGAGGCCGATCCTCGACCCAGGACGTGGTCCTCCCTGGTCCCCATCCGATGCCTCATCCTCATCATTCCCCATACCTAGTGCTCTTGCCCCTGCTGGTTCACCATGGCGTCAAACTGAGAGGGGATTCTGGGCGCGGCCGGCAAGGGGGAGGAGGAGGAGGATGAGGAGGAGCAGGAGGAGGAGGAGGAGGAGAAGGAGCAGGAGGAGCAGGAGGAGGAGGAGAAGGAGGAGGAGGAGGAGGAGCAGGATGATGATGATGATGATGATGATGATGATGATGATGATGATGATGATGATGACGACGACGACGACGACGACGACGACGACGACGACGACGACGACGACGACGACGACGACGACGACGACGACGATGATGATGATGATGATGATGATGATGCTGCTGCTGTCGGCTTCGGAGTCCTTGAGGGGACGCAGCCTGGCCCACCCGCCCGGTCGGGTGGGCGGGTGATCCTCCAAAAGGCTCGCTCGCCGCCGGTCCTCCGAGGGGGGGGGGGGATTCCCCCGGAGGGCGGAGACGGAGAGGAGAGGAGGACGGGAGGCTGGAGGGAGGGACCTCCCGAGTGAGGGTCCGAGATGGGGGAGACAAGGCCCCCCTAGCCGCAGGAGCCCCCCCTACCTTGCGGTGCGGCAGTGTCGTCTCCTCTGCTCGGCCTCTCCTCCCAGCTCGCCCGCCCCCCCGCACCTCCAGCCGAGTAGCACTCGGCGCCGGCACCGCGCTGCCTCGTACCACAGGGCTGGCCCCTCAGGCGGTTCAGCGGGTGGCGGGCGTCTCAGCCATATCGGCGGCTGATGTTGCGGCCGCCATGTTGGTGGCGGCCCGTCTCCTCTTCTGGTAGCTGCGCGAAGAGCAACTCGCCGTAGTGGCTGAATCTGTTCGTGCGTTTTTGCGGGTCAATGTGTAGCTCCCTGACGTTGGGGGTCATGGTCTCGCCGTTCACAAGGCAGAAGATCCGGTCGCCCTCCAGTTTGAGCGCTCTGTTGTCATCACCGGCGTCCATGAGGCGGCGAACCGCCGCGAACGGCTCGGCCTCTCTGGCTCCTTGCGCTGCTCGCTTCCGCGCGTGGCGGCTGGCCCCGAGAGCGGGCTCGTCTCGGACGCCGGCCAGGACGAGCAGAAGTCCGTTCCAGAGCGTTCCAGAACGCTCTCATAGCGTTCCAGAGCGCTCTGAGAGGGCCGTGGCGCCCGAGACATCTTCAGAGCCGCCAGACCTCAGAGATTCTCGATTGATCCTCCCCCGATGTCATTCGTTTCCTGGCTTCGTCGTATCGTCTGGCTTTCCCGTGCCGCTGCCCGTCTGGTGGGGCCGTCGCGCAGCCTCGCGGCGGGTGTTCCAGCCAGCACTCGCCTCCGTCGAGGCGGCCTCTCCTCCTGCGGCCCCCAGCCAGGTCCCGAGCGGGCGACGGGGATGTCGCATGGCGGCGGCTCCTCGGCGATGCGGGTGGCCTCCTTGGGCCTCTCGGCGGGGCAGGTGGTCCCCTTGGGTTCCTCGGCGGTGTCCCTAGGCTCCTCGGCGCTGCTGGGCACTCCCCGATGGCGCCGCGCACGAGACAAGGGATGGAGTCCTCGGCCTCTTTTTCTACATTGAAGGGAAGATGATGGCGGTCTTTGGGCCCTTGGGCCCTCTGTTCCGTTGGCTGTTGCAGGGCCCTCCTCCCTCGGGTCCCCTGGCCTCGTCGTACCAGCGCCCCAGCGCGGCGCTCCGAGGCCGTGGGTCCCGAGGTGCCCACCTCTGACAGAGCTGTACCTCCTCCTCCTCCTCCTCCTCCTCCTCCTCCTCCTCCGCCTCCTCCTCCTCCTCGTCCTCCTCCTCCTTCTCCTCCTCCTCCTTCTCCTCCTCCTTCTCCTCCTGCAGCTCGGAGCGTGATGCGGTTGCCGAGCTGGCACCACCACTTGTTCCAGCCATGTACCTCGCCCTGTAGATACCTGGTGAGCTGCACCTGCTCCGCCAGCTCGCCTGCCCCTCCGCGCGTGCCGAGCGGCCCTCGCCCGCAGGCTGTGGGCCCCACTCGCTCCCTTAGGTCGTAGCTCAAGTCTCTCTTGCTGAAGAGGGCCGGCTCCGCTCGCTGCGAGGGGGCGTCCTGGCGGAATCGGGCCAGAGCCCTGGCTGCTGGCTCGAGATGCGTCGCGGGCCCTTCGGCCATGGCGGCGCGCTGCCAGGCGCCGCGCTCGTGGCTGCCCGTAGGGTTGTGGAGGACGATCGATGGAGAGGAAGCGTGTCGCCAAATAATTTCCATATGTCGAAAACATGTTTTAGACATGTCTTAAACATGCAAAAGACATGACTTAAACAGTTTGAGGACATGCTACGCACATGTTAAGCACATCTTTCATTAAATTATAGGACTGTTAGGGTGTCCATTGTCCTGGCATCCACAACCGTAGGGGACCTGCGGCCCCTCGTCGGGCGCGGGGGGGAGCCCCCGCAGATTGCGACTCTGATCCGCCTCCTCCTGCACCCTCCGCCTCTTCCTCCTCTTTCCTCCTCCTCCTCCTCCTCCTCCTCCTCCTCCTCCTCCTCCTCCTCCTCCTCCCTCTTTTCCTCCTCCTCCTCCTCCTCCCTCCTCCTCCTCTATTCCTCCTCCGCCTCCTCCTCCTTCCTCCCCTCCCCCTCCCTCGGATCCTCCTCCTCCTCCTCCTCCTCCTCCTCCTCCTCCTCCTCCTCCTCCTCCTCCTCCTCATTCTCCTCTCCATCCTCGCCATGCTCAATCTCCGGCTGCCGCTTCCGTCGCCCGCGGCCGTGGTGGCTTTGTCTCAGCACCACCGAGGGGCCGCCCTCGACGAGAGTCGGCCCCTCCGTGTGCCTAGGGCCCCCCTCTTCCCGTAGACGTCTGGCCCCGGGTCGGCACGTCGGCCGGCGCGGTGCGCCCGCTGGCGGTGGTGGTGGAGGTGGTGGTGGTGGTGGAGTTGGTGGTGGTGGTGGTGGAGGTGGTGCTGCTGCTGCTGCTGCTGCTGCTGCTGCTGCTGCTGCTGCTGCTGCTGCTGCTGCTGCTGCTGCTGCTTGGTTTTCCCTACTCTCTCGGCGGGCGTGGGCCCCAAGCCCACTCGCGTCGTAAACAAAGCCACGACCTCAGACTCGTGCACCGTTCTCGGCTTCCGGGAGCGCCCTGACCGGTCCGCAGGACCGTCAGAGACTTGGCATCGCTCGGGCGTGTGCATTTTTCTCGACGAGAACCATCGAGGACCATCCTGGACCATCGAGCAAAAAAAAACACGCACGAAACCGAAAAATGCACGGGATATGGACGTCCGAGCGACGGCAAGGAGAAGACAATTCGGGATGAGAAGCCTGTCCCGGGGCCCAGGGGAGGGATCGAGGCCTCCAGGGGTCCATGCTGCGAAAGAACGCATCGCGGCGTTCGGGGTCTGGGAAAGCTGGAGCCGCGCGGAGACGACGGCGCAGCGAGAGCCCTGGCGCGGCAGCGGCCGCGAGGCCTTCAGCGGCTGGTGGTTCGGCCCGAAAGTAGGAGCCGCCGCCGCGAGCGCCTTGTGCCGAGGATGGGGAGGGGCTTTCAGTGGCATCATCACGAGAGCATAAGCTCAGGGGGGCACTCATCGGCCCCCAATTGCCGACTCATCGCCTACAGGAGCCCGATAGCCCACCCCGCCTAGGAACGTGCGGAACCTCTGTCGGTTGCCTCACTATCGCCGATCAATCGGCGATACATCGTCGGCCCCAAGTCGATAATTCCCCCCTGAGCTGGCCCCCCCGTATCGTTGACACTCAACTTCTGCTGACGAGGGAAAGGAGGAGGAAGAGGAGGAGGAGGAGGAGGAGGAGGAGTTATATTCGGACGGTTCCCCCTCTGCGGACCTCCTGGGGGAGGGGCCTTCGGGGCCACGGTTTGATCCCGTTCGAGGTTTCGGTTAGATACCGCTCCAGGACAGGCTTGCTGATCTGTTCTGAGAAGGGAATAAAACTATATTGCATGAACTCTAGCGTTGACACCATCTTGTGAGTGTACATTGTGGAGGTGGAATGTATGCGGGGTAAGCTATGTGGGGTGCACTATTTCGTGTAAGGTATGTGGTGTGATCTATGGAGGTGAGAGCTCCGCGGTGCAATCTATGAGGTGTACGCTATGTCGTTTAACATATGATGGCCTTCGGCCCACTCCGCCACCGTGCCTATGTTGTGGGTCACAGTTATCGGAGATGTTTCTTGGGGTCTCTTCGGAGCGCTCGCGGGGGTCTCTTGGAGTCACGTTTGGGGCCCCTGGGGCGCCTTTTGGGGACCTCATGGGGGCATCTTGGGGGCCTCATGGGGGCCCTTCGGGGCCGAGGACTCGACATGTCCGTTCGGAGTCCCCATCTGAGCCCCCTCTTGAAGCCGTATTTGGGCCCTCTTGGGCCGTCTTGGGCCGTTTGAGGGCCTTCTTGGGACGTCTTGGGGGCCTCTTGGGCCGTCTTGGGGCGATCTTGGGGGCTTCTTGGGGGCTTCTTGGGCTGTCTTGGAGCGTTGGGAAGCCGAAAATGCGAGAAAGCCAAAATCCTTCAAAGGCAAATGGAAAATAATAGGTTGTGCCTCTTGGGGCCCTCTTGGGAGGCATCTTGGATGCCTCTTGGGCCGTCTGGAGGCCATCTTGGGAGTCTTGGGGCGATGTTTCGGAGACTCGGGGCCTCGTTCGGCCGTCTTGGAGGCCCCTTAGGGGGGGATACAGGAGAGGACCTCAGGACATGCCTCTCAGCGCCTGCAGGCACCGTGGCGGATCTGCGACAGCGTGGCGAATCCTCGGTATACCTGCACAGCGCACGAGGCGGCAACGAGGCGGCAACGAGGCGACATAGGCGGCAACGGGCGGCAAAGTGGCGAATCCTTGGCATATCCACACGGGCGGCAACGTGGCGGATCCGTGGCGAATCCTCCGCACATTTACGCCTCGCGCGAGGCGGCAACGGCGAGGCGGCAACGACGCGGCAACGGGCGGCCACGTGGCGAGGCACCGGGCGGCACTGTGGCGAGTCCTCGGCATACCTATCCAGTTCTTTCTGGACACAAGTACAGTCGGAGCCCTGAAGAAGGAACCCTTTTCGTTGGGGAGGGGCTCCGTGTTCCTTGATTGTTTCGCAGCTTGCCTCAGGTTTTCCTTAGGTTTTCGATGCGAAATCGAAGTTCAACTTATGGAATAGAGGGGCCTCGTTCCTTATTTATCGTTCCTTAGGTCAACGCCCCGACTGTAAAAAAAACCAAGTGCAAGAAAAGTGGGGAGTCAATTTTCGGATCTCCCAGCGGAGTTCTTGGGACTGCGCTGGAGCCCCCTTGCTGGCGCGCGGGGCGTGCCATGGGCGGCGCCCGAGGCGCCGCTGGAGGGGCCCAGCGCCGATCCAAGGAATCCGAGCCGGGCTCCGAAAGTTTACATGTATGCAGTTGTTCATTTCCCTCGAGAGGGAGCGGGGAGAGACGGCAGATGCGTTTGCGCAGCGGCGAGCAGCAGAAGGGTCCCGGCTCTCCAGGAAACGCGATAAGCGCATCATGGCGGGCGTTTGCTCGCCAGTTATGCCTCGTGGCCAGCGGGGTCCGCCTGCATAAACCGAGGGTCCGTGCGAGAGAGGGGCAGGAGAAGGTTCGTTGCGGTTATGCCCTGCGGGGTGGCTGTGTCTGCCGTCGTTGGCTGCACTGGTGCATCGAATGAGAAAAAACGCCACAAACATAAACTTTTGGCGCTCCGCCCCGATTTCTTGGATCCTTGCTGGGCCCCCACGGCAGCGCCTCCGGCGCCGCCCGTGGCGCGCTCCGCGCGCCAAAGAGGCGGGTACGGCGCAGATCCAAGAAATCCGCGCGGAGCGCCAAAAGTTTCTCTTTACAGTCGGGGCGCTGAAGAAGGAACCTTTTTCGTTGGGGAGGGGCTCGGTGTTCCTTGATGGCTTAACAGTTTGTCTGAGGTTACCCTGAGGTTTTCCATGGGAAATCGAAGTTTTTAACTTATGGGGATAAGGGGCCTCGTTCCTGATTTAGGGTTCCTTAGGTCAACGCCCCGACTGTACGCCGCTCGTTCTTCTCCTACGCACGGATATGGAGGCATGGCCTGGCACGTCCGTCCAGGCACGCGCCTGCGGTGCCCCTCTCTGCGGGGCATGGCCCGCAGGAGAGGTGTGCCGCCGTCGGCGGGGAGGCACCCGCCCGTGTCCAAGGGAGGGCAGGGGCGGGCGGGAGGGGAGGGAGGAATGTCGCGGCGATTAAAGTACTCCAGATTTCGTAATAGAGGGAGGGGGGTCTCATTTCGGGGGGGGGTCTCTTCCAGGCTATCTTGGAGGGCCTGAGGGGTCTGGGGACGATGTTTTGGAGGGTTCTCCCACGGGGGAGGTCCGAAATGGCTTGTCTTGGAGGGTCCAGGCCCCCTCCCTTTTTGTTACGAAGTCTGGAGTACCCATCGGTCGTTGAGCAGGTCTGCCTGGACTCCCAGGTTCCAGTCTACTTTATAGGCGCCTTCCTGCTTCCGTGATCGAGCGGCTTCCCCTCTTCCCTCCTCTTCAGGGGGCGGGCGGAGACCCAATCTACTTCCAACGCCTTCATATTCATATTTCTACCTACTTCTTCCGACCGATCGTTGAGGTGATCTAAGTTGTACGGCGTTGTCGAGCGACCTTGCTTTGCGCGCGTCTTGCCCAGGTGCTACGAGCCACTGGCACACGTTGCCACAGCGCAATGCTGCCGCCATCTTCTGGTTTGAATGTAGGCCGCCAGCACCTCGTTGACGACATATCCATGCGCAAATCGTCTGCGCGTGCATCCTTGCATCGAGGAGCGCAAGTTGATGTGGGAATGGCGCACCTACAAGCATCAAGCGCCCCACCTTTGGACGACAGCGAGCTATATACAACATGGAAGCAGTTACGTAGGAGGCTCACAGACGTAGTACGAAAACAGCGATGGTGGTGATACCGATGAGGTAGACGCGAGTGACCCAAGGCGCGACACAGGATCACATCTTCATCAGCGCTGACCTGCGCCGCACACGTAACAGCGAGCACATCGTCGTGGGAACCTCTCCATCTCTCGTCCCAATCGTCTCTCCCCTCCTTTCCTCCCCCCACCTTCCTCCTCCTCCTCCTCCTCCTCCTCGTCTGACGCCCTCTCCCCGCCCCCCCCCCCTTCCCTCGACCTCTCTCTTCGGCACCCTCTACACGACTACACAATACGAATACTACTCACATCTCCGCCCCGCATATGTGCTGAGAGTGCTCGCCCCCCATCCGCGTTTTGTCTCTTCACGCACATGATTCGCGCGGACTAGCTTTTGATATGTGAATACATATATTTATATACATTCCTTCACTATCCTATTGTTGACAGTTTTTCTAAACTGGTACTCTCGCTGTCGCGTGGGCCTCATTTTCGAATCTGCGTTGTGCTCCCGCCGCTCAGATTGGGATTCCGTCCCAGCGTGGGCCACTTTTCTGGATCCCACAGGTCTCGCAGGTCACACAGGTGCCAAAGGTTACACAAGTGTCGCAGGTCGTCCCACTAATACCACCTGTCTGATAGGTTTCATAGTTCCCACAGGTGTCGCAGGTCTCGCATGCCCCACAGGTCTCACAGGTCCGACAGGTCCCGGAGGTCCCACAGGTCCTCATGTTTCACAGGTCCCTCCCAGGTCCCACAGGTCCCGCCGGTGGCACGGGCCCCACAGGTCTCACAGGTCCCACAGTTCCCACAGGTCTCACAGGCCCCACAGGCCCCACAGGTTCCACAGGTCCAACAGGTGTCGCAGGTCCCACAGGCCCCACAGGCCACAGAGGTTCCCCAGGTCACGCAGGCCCCACAAGTTTCTCTTCTCCGGCTGCGCATAACACGATGGGGTCTTGTGTGGAGTTCCAGGTCGGCTATGACACGCGTCCGCGGATCGGAAGATTAGCGCAGTGAAAAGGGATGGGAGGGAGGGATAGAATGTCAGATATGGCGCGTGCGCGCCTAGCTTTCACCCGATCCCCTCGCCCTCCCCTCTTCGCACTCTCATTCCCCCCCACCCCCTAGGAAACTTCGCAAGCCTCCCCCCGCATCCCCCCCCATCCCTGCTGGTTGCGTCACCCTCTCCCGTCAGGAGGCGACCAGGTCTGGGCGTACCATCCGAGCAACACCATGACGCCGCCGAAGTCGGGCTGGAAGGCCGCCCGGCGCCGCACCATCCACCTCCGCTATTAGGAGGAGGAGGAGGAGGAGGAGGAGGAGGAGGAGGAGGAGGAGGAGGAGAAGGAGTAGGAGGAGAACGAGGAGGAGGAGGAGGAGGAGGAGGAGGAGGAGGAGGAGGCCCGTTGATCACGATGGATTGCCCTGGCGTTCTCGCTTTGGCCGCGGTTTTCCTGAGGGGGTGCCTAGACGCACTCACGGGCCTCACCAGCACAAGGCGTTGATGGGCCTCAGACCCGACGGGAGCTTCATAATGGTTGCTGCTGCGCAATTCCTGGCGGCTTGCTAATTGTCTCGCCGGTTTGATGCATCCGCTCACGTTCGCGCAACGATTCTCCGTACGGTGTGTGCCCTGCCACTGCCACACACGTACAAAACCTTGACGGTCTGAGCGTGGTTCACGGCCCGCGGCTTCCTCATCGCGCCCCTTCGGTTCTTCCCTCCTGCCCAAGTCTCTTCCGACGTGTCCCTCGGCTGCCCCGACCGCGTCTTAGGCCCGTGCGCCGCCGCTGACAAAAAGTGCCCTGACGCGTCAGCTCGCTGTCCCCTCAGCGCTGCTCCTGCTCATCCTCCCCTACCCCAAACATGTGCCTCCTCCTGCTCCTCGACCCTGCTCCTCAGCGCCCCTCCTCCCCCTCCTCCTCCTCCTCCTCCTCCTCCTCCTCCTCCATCCTCCTCCTACCCTCCTCCTCAGCGCCCCTCCTCCTCCTCCCCCTCCCCCCCTCCTCCCCTCCTCCTCATCCTCCTCTCCTCATCCTCCTCCTCCCCTCCTCCTCCTCCTCCTCCTCCTCCTCCTCCCCTCCCCCTCCTCCTCCCCCCCCAACAAAAGTGTGCCCGCTCCCGGGTGCGAAGCCTTTCTCCGCCGGTGCTGCTGCCCTCGCCCCCCTCGGAGCCCCCCCCAGAGAGGGGCCGCGAGGCCGCAGGGGCCACGGGGGCTCTGAGAAGCAAGGGCGCCCGCCCTGGCGGCAGCCAGGCAAAGCCGCGGTGTCGAGGCGCATCGTGGCGTGGGCGCGGACCCTCTCCGGGCGAGGAGCCTATGCCGAGCGCGTCGCTCCGCGGACTCGGGTCCGCCGCGCCCTGGTGGTGCACGGCAGCCACGTCCCCCCCGCCTCCCCAGGCGTCGGCGGCCCCGGCCTCTCGAGGCCTCCTCCTCCTCCTCCTCCTCCTCCTCCTCCTCCTCCTCCTCCTCCTCCTCCTCCTCCTCCTCCTCCTCCCCTCCTCCTCCTCCTCCCTCCTCCTCCTTCCTCCTCCTCCTCCTCCTCCTCCTCCTCCTCCTCCTCCCCTCCTCCTCCTCCTCCTCCTCTCCTCCTCCTCTCCTCTCTCCTCCTCTCTCCTCCTCTCCTCTCTCCTCTCTCCTCTCTCTCCTCTCTCTCTCCTCCTCCTCCTCTCCTCCTCCTCCTCCTCCCCCTCCTCCTCCCCTCCCCCCTCCTCTCCTCCTCCCTCCTCCTCCTCCTCCTCCTCCTCCTCCTCCTCCAGGCCTCCCGTCCCGCGGAGCGGGGCGGCACGCGCTCCGCCCGCGGGGCGCGCGGGGTCGCTGGGGCCGCCGTGGCGGCACGCCAGGCAAAAGAGGTCCCGACCGCGGCAACGGCGGGCACGGGACCGCGCGGCCACGCAGCGCGGGCGCGCGCGCGGAACGCATCGGAATGTGGAGTCGTGTTCGGGTCCTTCCGTCTCATCTGGCCCCTCCTCTTTCTCGGGGGCGGAAAAGAGGGGGGTGATGACTAGGGGGGGTGGACATCATGGCGCGGGCCACGATGTTTCCCCAGATTTCATGGCGCCTCTTCTTTTTTCATTACGTCCCAGGCCCCCCCGCAGGGCCGCGCACATGCCGCCGGTCATGATTTGCACCCCCCCCTCTTGGACACCCCCCTCTTGGCCGCTCCCGCTCCTCTTTCCCCCGCCCGTCTGACGCGAGTTCGCGCTCCGGGAGCGCCATTGGCGGGGGCAGCGCCGCGCCGCTGAACGGTTGCAGCGCAATCCCCCGATGTTGGAACTGCAACGGCGTGTACCTATTCCAAGTGCAACTCATCCAGGTTGCAGCGTGTACGTTTTGATTATTCACATACCCGGGCCGTTGCAAATACAGGCCTCTTCCTTGGGCTTTTAGCTTGTGCAGGGTGCGTTGCGTCGGGGGGGGTCCCAGGTCCTGCGGGACTGGGCTGGCCTAAAGAAGTCGTAAAATGGGAAGACCAGCTTAGATGCAAATAGCAAATGAGCCACTTTGAGCGAGGTAATCTCCGAGCACCGCCAAAGCCAGTTGGCGAAGTTGTTGCGGCAGGTGGCAGCGACTCTAACTCATTCGAAGCCAGCGCCGACCGTGATCGTGACATCAAATCGTGATCGTTTTCTGATTCATTGTTTTGCCGATCGGCGCGGGCCCTCGCACTCTCCCTCCCCCCCTCCATGGAGTAGATCTTGGTTTTTTGGGGGCGCCCGTTTCAAGCAGGTGGATTCACCCCCAGAGGACGCACGGTTCCAAACAGTCGCATTAAGCAGAGGTCCCGAGCCAGACCCCCCCCCTACCCTCCCTCTTCCGCCCATTGTCGAAACGCCGAATGAAAAACGCTCACATCCTTGGCTCGATAATTGTCGCCGCTGGGAGGCGCGGCGGCCTTGGGTTCTCAATGCTCGCTGGCCCCTCCTATGGCCCTCGCAAATCCTTGGCTTGATACTTGTCGCCGCGGGGCAGCGCGGCGGCCTTGGGTTCTCAATGCTCGCTGGCCCCTCCTATGGCCCTCGATCATCTGTTTGAATAGTTGGAGGGGCATCGGCATCGGAAGGGGCCCACCTGTCCAAAATCGCAGGGGAGGTCTGGCCCAAGGCCTACAATGAACCCGAGAAGGCCAGACGTGAGGCGATTTCATTCAATCGCAAGCGACCTGGTCGGAATGTCCGTAACTCCGTAGCTCCCCATCGTGAGTTCGCCTCCCTCCTCTTCACCCGCGCGCACGCCTGTAATGACACCACGACGTTTTAGTCCCCGAAGGACGTGCGCAGGAAGGGAAGGACGAGATTGAGGGAGGGAGAGGGTAAGAGAGTTGCGGAGAAGGAGAAGGAGGAGGAGGAGGAGGAGGAGGAGGAGGAGGAGGAGGAGGAGGAGGGGGGGAGGGCCGGAGGGGGGAGAGAGAGAGGAGGGCTTTGCCTGCGCGGTCGGCGACGGGAAGGTGGCGCAATGTCCCTGCGGCCCCGCCCGCCGGTGAGGTGCCCTGCGACGGGCCGGTCGACCCGAACTTCGCGGTGTCGTCGGGCGCGGCCCCGGTGCCGTCCCAGCAGCCAGCCTGGGGAGGCGCCCGCTGGATGGGCCTTCCGCCGCGTGGTTGCCGAGAGGGAGGGCCCTCGATTGAAGCACGCTCAACCGAGCTACGTTCCGTCGGCGGCGAGGCAGAGGCAGTCCAGTCCGCTCCAGCGTGTGACATTTCGGGGCAACCGAAAGGCGAATTGGCCGGCGTGCACAGAAGGGGGAAGAAAGACAAGAGGCGCATCCAAAAACAGGAGAGTGTGATATCGCACGGTCGAGTCTCAGATTGGAGGGGGCGCCAGCGGGGGGCTCGAGGTTCGAGGATATCGGCCTCTCCGCTCCCTCTCCCTCTCGGGCTCTTGGGGGATCCCACTCCTCCCCCTTCGTCCTTCCCACCCCTTCCCCCCCTCTCTCCATCCCTTTTTCTCGGAGGAGGGAAAGGTACTGATGCCAGTACCCTTCCCTCGGGTTTCCCTTTGTGGGGCCTCCTGGGAGCCCCTCGTCATCACCGCTGGATTCGCCCGAAATTCTTGCCAGAACGTACCCCGGGAGAGGTCCGGGGAGTAGCAGTATCGGTACCTTTTGGTTCCCCCACTTTTTCTTAGAACTGCATTCTCCCTGTCGCACCCCCAGACGTGTCGGTAGGGCGGGCCAGGCATTTCGCCCGAGATGTGTTCGCCATGTCTGACCCTGAAGCTTGAAATCTGCAACGTATTCACGAATGGAGGGCGGGCAGTTTTCGAAATGTGTATCTCGCTTTGGCGCCGCGCACACTCGTCTTAACATGTTGCAGCAGATGCAGATTCGCTTTGCAAGTTCACAGCAAGCTTAAAGCTTCGCGTGGTTGAAGTTCACAGAATGGTGTTCTGGCACCATTAAGGGCTATCAGGATGCAACATTCACGTTGACTCATGGCATCGAAGTCCCACGAATTGTGTTACGGCACGGATCAGGAGTGTCAGGACGAGGCGATGAAGTCCCAGATGTTTTGTTTTGGCACGATTGTGGATTCTCAGACGAGGCATTCCCCACATTGAAAACACATTCTCGTAGGGACTACGACGAGGGAACTTGGAGGGAGAGTTGATTGAAACATCGTTGATGCGCCTTGGGTTTACACTGGTCCTCTTCCCCATCCTTCCCCACCGCCTTCTTCTCCTCCTTTTCCTCCTCCTCCTCCTCCTCCTCCTTCACCTCGTCCTCCTCCTCCTCCGCCTCCTCCTCCCCCTCCTCCTCCTCCTTTCCCTCTTCTCCTCCTCCTCCTCCTCCTCCTCCCCCTCCTCCTCCTCCTCCTCCTCCTCCTCCTCCTCCTCCACCCCTCCCCTCCTCCTCCTCCTCCTCCTCCTCTCCCCCTCCTCCTCCCCTCCTCCTCCTCCTCCACCCCCTTCTCCTCCTTCCTCCTCCTCCTCCTCCTCCTCCTCCTCCTCCTCCTCCTCCTCCTCCTCATGCTCCTCCTCCTCCCTCTCCTCCTCCTCCTCCTCGTCATTCCCCATCTCCCTCCTGTGACAGGCGCCCAGCAGGCCCAGCCCGCCTGGGGCCAGCAAAAGGGAGCGCCACCGCCTCAGCAGCAGCCGCCGCAGCAGTCCTGGGGCGGGCAGCAGCAGAAGCCGCCGCAGCAGCAGCCGCCGCCGCAGCAGCCGCCGCCGCAACAGTCGTACGCCCAGCGCGGGGCCTAGCCGTCCCGGGCCGGCCCCAACCCGCGCCGCCGATGGGGGGTGCCCTTCCGGCGCACGCGGCCACAGTCTTGGAAGTCCCCCGAGTTGGTTCACTTCACACCCAGGGGCGCAACGATGATCACGCTTCGCGCGTCGCGGTCAGGGCCAGAGCGTCTGCGCTTCACCACGCGGGGGGCGCAAGGCGAGGTGCGAAGACAGCCACACATCGGGGGGCGTGATGCTCGAGGTTTGGTGGCCTTGGCCCATCCCGCAGGGGCCCACGACTCTGCCAGCCGTGCAGCACAACGGCCGCACGGCCTGGGAGACGCCAGGTTTCTATTTCCTCTGGGTGGGGAGGGCGTGTCCCGCCGTCGACCTCCTTATACAGGAGGCGCTGTCTGGGCGCACGCGCGGAGCGGCATCGGCGCCCGCCCGCTCGGCTCGCTCTGGTGGCAGGTGGTCCGACGGCCTGAGATCCCGAGGGCCTCGCCCTACGGCTGGTGGGAGTTTGGGGTCCCGTGATGGCGCGCAACCATTCTTCGAGTCGGCCCCCGAGTCTGAACGTAACCCATGAGACTGATCGAGGCGTCGGCGCCGTCGTTTTGAAGCTCTCGCCGAACTCTGCAGAGTGGGCCCGCCCTCCAAAGGAGCGCAGAGTGCAGCGGGATGCTAAGGGGCAGCAGTCGGCGCACCCGCCCTGCCCCCACTCGGGCTGGACGACAGGGGCGTGGCAGCAGAGGGGGGGCAGCGGACCAGCTCGCGCGGCTCGAGGGGGGCCGAAACGGTGCGGAGACAGACTGCGCGGTGGCCTCGAGAGCCTCGAGAGGCCTCACAACACAGTCGGGCACCGCACCGCGTTGGGGACCCCGCAGGCCCCAGTCGCCCGAGGCTATGCTTGGAGAACGGCCCGAGTTTCAAGACCGGGTGGCCATCTCGGAGCCCCAGCAGCTCACCCGACTGTGTGGTCGCGCCAACTTTGTGGGACCGTCGGGGGGAAGGATGAGGATGCGGTAGGCGTGCGCTTTGGCACTGCCATACTCGCGAGCCGTATGTCATTGGATTGTGCTTGGACCCACGAGGCCCCAGGCGTTGGAGGCATCCGTGAAGAGCGAGCGGGCCCCCAAACCGGTCGCCCACCCCAGATCGCATCCGACCGTGGAGGAGCAGCAGCAGCAGGAGGAGGAGGAAGAGGAGGAGGAGGAGGAGGAGGAAGATGAGGAGGAGGAGGAGGAGGAGGAGGAGGAGGGGAGGGGGGGGAGGAGGAGGAGGAGGAGGAGGAGGAGGAGGAGGGAGGAGGAGGAGGAGGAGGAGGAGGAGGAGGAGGAGGAGGAGGAGGAGGAGGAGGGAGGAGGAGGAGGAGGAGGGGAGAGGAGGAGGATAACTGGTGGTGTTGCAGCTCCCCCACCACCGCAGCAGCCTCTCCTGGAGTGGCGAGGGTGTGGCGCTCCTTGTCGAGGAGCCAGGAGCAGCACTGGCGAAGGCGTGGTGGTCACGGTCCTGCTGCTTGTGCAGCATCGCTGCGGAAGCACGCGGGGTCTGCCCTCCAGGGTGCTGGGCTGTGTCGGATGAGGAGCAGGAGCTCGAAGGGAAGGAGGAGGCAGGAGAGCAGGATAACGACGAGGATGAAAAAGGGGGGGCATGGAGGCGATGAGAGGGAGGTGGGAGGAGAGAGGAGGAGGGAGGCGAGACAGGGATGGGGGATGAGGGATGAGGGGCGATGAAGGAAGACGAAGGGGGGAGGAGGACGTCCCAGTAGGCCCAGCAGGAGGAGTCGGGGGGGGATCAGGAGGAGAAGGAGCAGCATTGGCAGAGGGGGAGCACAGCCAGGAGGAGGAGCAGGAAAAGGCAAACTCAGAAGGAAAAGCAGCAGGATAAACAGGAGAAGCAAGGTCATGAGGAGGAGACAGGAGAAGGATAACAGTGAGGAGGATGAGGAGGAGGAAAGGCAGAATAAGAAGGAACACGCCACGGAGAAGAAATAGGAGGAGAAACATGATCATGAGGAGGTGCAGCAGCGGCAGGAAGGAGGAGGAGGAGGAGGAGGAGGAGGAGGAGAAGGACGGTGAGGAGGAGGAGAAGGGGTAGGAGGCAGATTGAAGGAGGACGACGTGGATGGACAGGATGAAAAAGATTGGGAGAGTTTGGCTGAGGCGGAGCACATGCGCGAGGAGGTGGAGGGGCGGGAGGAGGAGGAGAAGGAGGAGGAGGAGGAGGGGATGATGATGTTGATGATGATGATGATGATGCTGATGCTGATGCTGATGCTGATGCTGATGATGCTGATGCTGATGCTGATGCTGACGCTGATGTTGATGCTGATGCTGATGATGATGCTGATGATGATGGTGATGGTGATGATGCTGATGATGATGGTGATGATGATGATGACGATGCTGATGATGATGCTGATGATGATGGTGATGGTGATGATGATGATGATGATGATGATGATGATGATGGTGATGATGGTGGTGATGTGATGATGATGATGATGGTGCTGATGATGATGATGGTGATGATGATGATGCTGCTGATGATGAGGATGAGGATGAGGATGAGGATGAGAGGATGAGGATGAGGATGAGGATGAGATGAGGATGAGGATGAGGATGAGATGAGGATGATGATGAGATGATGATGATGATGATGATGATGCTGATGATGATGATGATGAGATGTGATGATAATGATGATGATGATGATGATGATGATGCTGATGATGATGATGATGATGATGATGATGATGATGATGATGATGAGATGATGATGATGATGATGATGATGATGATGATGATGATGATGATGATGATGATGATGATGATGATGATGATGATGATGATGATGATGATGATGATGATGATGATGATGATGATGATGATGATGATGATGATGATGATGATGGATGGAGGAGGAGGAGGAGGAGGAGGAGGAGAGAGGAGGAGGAGGAGGAGGATGATGATGAGGAGGAGGAGGAGAGAGGAGGAGGAGGAGGAGGAGGAGGAGGAGGAGGAGTTGGAGGGGGAACACGAGCAGGCGGTGGAGGACGGTGGCCCTCGGGAGAGGAGGAGGAGGAGGAGGAGGAGGAGGAGGAGGAGGAGGAGGAGGAGGAGCATCGTGAGGAGGAGGAGGAGGAGGAGGAGTTGGAGGACGGAGAAAGCAGGAAGAGGGGTAGGCACAGGAGGAAAAACATTAGGAATCTCATCTCTATCGGGAGGAAGAGGACGAGGATGTAAAGCACGAGAAGGACGATGACCATCTGGAGGAGGAGGAGGAGGAAGAGGAGGAGGAGGAGGAGGAGGAGGAGGAGGAGAAGGACGAAGAAGAATGAGGAGCAGGGGGAGGAGCAGCAGCAGCAGCAGGATGCTCCAACGAGGGAAGCAATGGGAAGCAGCGTGCACACTTACGCACTACTGGCGTGGAGGAAGGAAATCGGCGTGAACATGCAACGCTTGAGGTCATATGGGGCTAGCCAGCCGCCGGCGCGGCAGCCGCCGGCGCAGCAGCCGGGTCCGTCGTGGGGCGGCCAGCAGCAGGCGTCGGGCGCCCAGCGCGGAGCCCGGCCCACCGCGGCCGTCTACGATTGGCCGCGTGCAGGGGGGGGAAGCGGGTCGGATGAAAGCCGTGGGCCCCCAGACGGCGCGGTGACCACACCGTCGAGGGAGCGAGTGGGGATTCGGGCTGACGGCACGGTTTGGGGGACCTGGCCCGCGCTCCGAGGGTGGCCTCGGGCGGCCGGGGCCTCTCGAAGGTCCCCAAAACCGTGCGGCGACAGGCCGTGCGGTGAGGTGTCTCGGGATCTTCGAGGTCACCGCATGGTTTGTCACCGCGCCGCTTTGAGAACCCCCAGGCGAGGGGGGGTGGAGCTGCGCCGGTAGGTTTCGGGCCCGCCGCGGGGCGCCTTCCTCGACGCATTGGCGTTCCCGGCGCTGGGAGGCACCGGCGAAATCAGCTGTGTGAGCTGGTTCGCTTCCCCCGCACTGCTCTATCGGTCCCCTGTTTCGTCCGACCCGAGAAAGGGGGCGGGGCGAGTGAGCAGTTTGTTTCTCCTTCCCATCCTGCTGTTCCCTGCGCCACCTTTAAGGCGGCGGAGGCCCGCTCCGGCGGCCAGAGCTCGGCGGGAGCTTCAGACCGGCGGCGCTAACGCCGCGGTCAGCCTGCTGTGCGCTATACGGCCAGGCTCGGGAGCCAACTCGATGGAGCGGCTGCGAGTCATCACGGGTGCGGCGAGGGGAGGGGCCCTCCAGGATGGCGGGGGGGCTTCGTAGAAGCCCTCCCGCCGTCCATCAAGGAAACGCACACGTGGATTGGCCGAGCATCTGATTAAGAACCCCCGCCCCCGAAAAGTTGGGCCAGCGTTTCTGACCCAACTTGACGGGAAGCTTGACCAGTTTTTTGAACACGTTCGCCCTCTCCAGCGTCAGCACAGAATTTGGCCCAGGCTCGTCTTGAGAAACTTCCGGGAAGCTGGCCCAGATTTCTGAAATACAGCCGGGGCCCTGCAGAAGGAACCCTTTTCGTTAGGGAGGGGCTCCGTGTTCCTTAATTGTTTCTCAGCTTGTCTCAGGTTTCCCTTATGTTCTCGATGGGAAATCGAAGTTTAACTTATGGGGAAAAGGGGCCTCGCTCCTTATTTAGGGTTCCTTCGGTCAGCGCCCCGATTGTAATGAGTTTGTTGATCACATTTCTGGCTGCAAGGCGCGTGGGTTAGCGACCGATCCCGGTTCCATGCAAAGTCGGCGCGCTCCGTCGCCAAGTCGGGCGGCAGTGGCCTCCTGTTTCGGGGGCACCTGCCCACATCCGTGGATCTGGCGCCCACGCGCCAGATCTATGGGTCCGTAACCCACTGCTACCGAAGGAGAAAAAAAAACACCATGAGCATAAACTGTTGGCGCCCCGCACGGATTTCTTGAATCCGCGCTGGGGCCCCTCGGCGCCGCCTCCGGCGCCGCCTCTGGCGCGCTCCGCGCGCCAGGGAGGGCGGTCCAGTGCGGATCCAAGAAATCCGCGCTGGACGCCAAAAGTTGATGTTCATGGCGTTTCTTCTTCTACTTATTATTATTTGTCTTCTTCTTATTATTATTATTCTTCTGTATGTTTCTTCTTCTGCTTCTGATTATTATTAGCATTATTATTAGTAGTAGTATTATTATCATTTTATTATTATTAGCATTATGCTCATACTTATTATTAATATTCGTAGTACTGTTGCTTGTTAGTATTATTATTATTCTATGCTAGCGTGCTCCCGCCCGATTCTACGGAGCCTTCTCGGAAGCATCGGGCCCCACCTGGGAGCCCCCCACTTGAGCCGACCACCCCCCGCCCTCCCCCAAGGCGCCCAGCCAGAGCCTGCCCGCCGCCGCCACTTCTTTCTCCCGCCACCGCTCGCCCGCAGCAGCGAGCCTCTTATTCTTCTTCTTCTTATTATTCTTCTTATTATTCTTCTTCTTCCTCCTCCTCCTCCTCCTCCTCCTCCTCCTCCTCCTCCTCCTCCTCCTCCTCCCTCCTCCTCCTCCTCTCCTCTCCTCCCTCCTCTTCCTCCTCCTCCTCCTCCTCCTCCTCCTCCTCCTCCTCCTCCTCCTCCTCCTCCTCCTCCTCCTCCTCCTCCTCCCCCTCCTCCTCCCACTACACACGTACGCCGACCTCGGCCGCGGAGTCGTCACCGACTTCGTCGCCGCCGCCGCCGCCGTCGATCTTGCCGATGTCGTCGCCGTCGTCGTCGTCGTCGCCGTCGTCGTCGTCGTCGTCGTCGTCGTCGTCCGACAGCGTCGGCACGAGACGGGGCGCGGCGCGGCGCGGCGGATCCCTGGCTGCAGAACCGAGGCAGCGGGCGGCGCCGGCGCCAGCGACAGGTTTCAGCACGCCGGCGCCGAGCGCCTATGGCGCGGCGGCAGGCGGGCCTCTCCTCGTCGCCGCCGCGGTCGGTGTCGCTCCCTCCTCCTCGTCTCCCCCCTTCCCTTGGGTTCGAGGTCCGAGGTTTCCCCGTCCCAGTCCTCCTCCTCCTCCTCCTCCTCCTCTTCCTCCTCCTCTTACTCCTCCTCGTCCTTCTCGTCCCTCGCATCCATCGCCCTCCTCGTCCCCTTCTCCTCCCCTCTGTCCCCCTCCTCATCTTTCCCCTCCGCATCCTCGCCCTCCTCCTCCCCCTCCTCGTTCCCTCCTCCTCCAACCTGCTCGGACAACGGTGCGGACGGACACGACCTGTCGCCCAGTCGGGCTTCTCAAATGCAAGAAACAGGACGACAGGTGAGTGAATGACTCTTGAACTCGCTTCTCGAGTACATCGTGCGCCCTCTTCGTCAACACCTGGCGACAACGCAACCACAACATCTAGCTTGGCTTCGCACGAAAAATCCAGACTCACCATCTTCGTTGGGCCGCAGACGCCCTCCTCACAGGCCGCTCCCTCCCAAGCCAGTACGACAACGCTCGACGGCATAGCCACAACTGCACAGGCCCGTGGGGCTTCGCATGAACCCAGACAAGATTAAGGTTCTGACAATTATGATGTGGTCAGCCAGGACAGATCTGGAGATCACGACAACTCATGGTCAAAATCAGCGGAAAGGATATCCATATATATATATATATATATATATATAACCGCACCGTGGCACCGCCCAGTATTGGGGACCGCGGATCTGTCTCCTCCGCACCACGCCCACAGAGATACAACACCGGTTGAAGGCAGGGCAGGCTGCTGTCACAACTCGCAACAGACGTCAGGAGGGAAAAAACACACAGACACAACTAATCGCCGATTCCCTAGAAGATATGGGAAAATATGGGAAGTGGGGGGGAAGACAAAAAGACAGAAAATATGGAAAAATATGGGGCATCCGTTTATTTGTGTGTATTCATTTGTGTGTCCCAAGGCCCCTTCAAGACGGGAGTTTACAGGAAAGCACTACCCATACGGACACCGACTGTGGCTCTTCAACGGCACTGTCAGGCCGACGGTGCTCTACGGGCGGGAACGTCCGCTTAGCATGCCGCTCCGCTGGCTCTGGCCCACCAGGCTTCGGCGCGACACGCCAACCACTTCCCAGTCCCGAATCGTCACCCGAGCCTTTCCCAGCCTCCCGCCCCGCGGAGCAGAGCAGCACGCCCTCCGCCTGCTCCTCTCGCCCATCCTGCTGCTCGGCCACCACCTCCTCCGATGTGTGCAGCTCCCCTTTTTGCCGATCGCGCATGACACGGTGGGGTCCGTCTTGGAGTTCCAGGTCCGCTGCGACACGCGTCGGCGGATAGATAAACAAGCCCGCGCAATGGGAAGGCCGCCTGGCTCCGCCTGCTCGGCGGAGAGACGAGGGGGGAGGAGGAGGAGGAGGAGGAATGGAGGAGGAGGAGGAGGAGGAGGAGGAGGAGGAGGAGGAGGAGGAGAGCCGAGGGGGGAGGAGGAGGAGGAGGAGGAGAGCCGAGGAGGAGGAGGAGGAGGAGGAGGAGGACGAGGAAGAGGACGAGGACGAGGACGAGGAGGAGGAGGAGGAGGAGGAGGAGGAGGAGGAGGAGGACGTCCGACGTGGCGCGCGAGCGCGCCGAGCCCGCTCTCCCCATCGCTGCCTCCCCCGCGCCCTTGCCTCGGGCGGGCGTCCGCACGCCTACAGCCGGGTCGCTGAAGAAGGAACCCTTTTCGTTAGGGAGGGGCTCCGTGTTCCTTAATTGTTTCTCAGCTTGTCTCAGGTTTCCCTTATGTTCTCGATGGGAAATCGAAGTTTAACTTATGGGGAAAAGGGGCCTCGCTCCTTATTTAGGGTTCCTTAGGTCAACGCCTCGACTGTACAACGGTGGGGTCGGCCACTTCTGAGTACAGCGCCGGTGTTAATACATGCTCCGCGTGCGGATCATGTATCAAAGATGCAGGGGGTCAGTACTAAACACAACGATGAGTTCATGCATAAATGTATTCATACACTGATCCTGTATGAAAAGTCCTACAGATTCAAAAATCCTGTGTATGAGAACCTGCCCTGTAGGGTCCACATACACACGCAGAAGAGGGCCGCAAAGAAATCTGTCTCGATACAGTTGAACATCATGATGATGCAGTTCACGCCAAAATGGGTGTGGATTCCTTGTCATGTGTAGCCAGGCACTGGTGGCCAAAGGCAAACACCCGGCGGCAATGTAGCCGCCGATGGACATGCGGGAGAAGAACTCCGCCAAAGGAAAGGAACAGAAAGAAGTCGGCCGTGGGACAGATGAGAACTCAACGACCAGCGACTTATAGAGGACGCAACGCCCCGGGGTGCCGACGAAGTAGAAGTGCGTGTCCAGGCTTTTGACTCCACGCTGAAGGCGCCAACCGGGGAAGGGATTACCCACCCATCCCGCGGAGGTCGGCATGATCCCATGGCACGAGCACCATCCGACAGCCAGGATGAAGAATAGAAAGTGGCACAGTAGCCAACCGGGGAATGGATAACCACCCATCCCGCGGTCGTCGGCCAGTAGCCGAGAACGGCGGTACAGGGATGTCGAAGAGACGGTTCATGCAGGCGAACGTCGTGAACGCCCGGGTGGCTCACGCAGACACACACACACACACCACGCACGCACACGCACACGCACACGCACACGCACACGCACGCACACGCACACACACACACACACACACACACACACACACACACACACACACACACACGCGCTGGGCGCCCGTCTCCTCCGCCTTCGGGTCCTCTCCCGCTCCCTCCTCGCTCCCACTCTCCCCGCTCCCTGCCTGTCGTCGTTTTGGGATGTGCCCCGTCGCCTGGCTCCCAGGTGGAGGGCCGCCCCCCTCCTGGACTCGAGGTGAACACATGGGCAGACCCGCCCGGTGGGCTTACGCACCCCTTTTCGCAGCGTGCCTGGGACCACCGCCCAACACGCTTTGGTCTCGGTGGGCACCAGATCTGGGGCGCGTCTGAGGCCGGGGCCGCAGGTGAGGGAGGAGGAGGGGGAGGAGAAGGGGGGGAGCCCCGCCCTTTGCCGGCCTCCTCCCCCCGTCTTATTGTACCTGTTGCTTCTCCTCCTCGTCCTCCTCCTGCTCTTGCTACCAGGAAGCTGGATGCGCATGACGTGGCCGCCCCCGGGCGGGTATAGACACATGGCCGCGTGTCTTCCCAGCGCTCTGCTGGCTGGGCACGCTGGCCCACAATGTGTGTATCCAGCGCACGGCCTCAGCGCGTTCCACACGTGAGTCCACCCACGCTTGTGCGCCTGCAGTCTCCTGGTGCTCCTCCGTCCTGCTCTCCACTCCCCCGGGGTTCGCCGTCCTCCCCATTCCCCCCTTGCCTACATGTCTCCCTCGCCCTTCCTCCCTCCTCGCTTGGGGACAGCTTGGCGCCTACGCCACCGCTCGACGACGACATCCCTCCTCTTCGTCCCTTCGCCTGCGTCGCCTGCTCCCCCCTGCCCACCTCTGCTGCAGCCATTTCGGCTGCCCCGAGGCGCGAGCGGCTCCGCCCCCGCGGGGGGCGAGGAGGCGCCCCTGCGCCCATTCCGGCGGCAGCCCCCATGCCGGAGGCCCAGCAGGTGCGGTCCCTGCTCGCGGGGGAGAACCGGCTGGCCTCGTCCTGGGGGCGCGGCGCATGCCGGCGGCGCGGAGAAGGGTGGCGGGGACGTCGTCGTCTTGCTCTCGCCGTGGACGAGGGAGGGTCCTGGATCTGAGTCGGGAACTGGAGCATATACAGTACCAGTGGCGGGCGCTTTTTCTATGATTATTTTGACAATCCCATGACTTTTTGAGGGTCGGGGACGACGTCGGGGTGGTGTGGTGTATACTTGTTTTCCCGTTTTCCCGTGGAAACAACAAAACATGTATACACCAGGATCCCGTAGACACCAGGAGCCGCGTTCCTGTGCGAGATCCGGTGTGAGGCCAGAGAAAGGCGTCGGTGGATGGAGTTCGGCTCCTTACTGAGATCGGCAAAATCACCCACCCTGCCAAGCCGATTTTTGCGAAGTGCCCCCCCCCCCCCCACACGGCGGTTCTCGAGGGGGCGCTCGCGGCCGCAGGCCTGGCAGGCCTGCGCCCGCCGGGTCCGGTCCCAGATCGTGCCCTCGACCGGGTGTTCGTCCGAGGTTGTTTCTGTCCACTCCAGACCTTTGTCAGGAGGGGAAAAACACACAGACACAATTGATCGTCGATCCCCAAGAAAATATTCGAAAATATGGGAAGTGGGGGGGGGAAGACAAAAACCCAGAAAAAAATTTAAAATATTGGGCATCCTGTTATTTGTGTGTATTTATTTGTGTGTCCCAGGGCTCCTTCACTCTGGAGGTGCCCCCGAGGCGATGTCGCCGCTCTCGCGCTCCCAGGGCCCCCCCCTGCAGGGCCGGGGGCCTCCAGAATCCAGGGAGGGAAAACCACCCGGGCCCGAGAGTTGGCGTTTACTGAACGCTCTTTGGGCGTTTACTGAACAGCCCTGCCCTGTTCGATTCCTTCTTTGCGTGCCTTTACTCGGGAACTGGAACATATACATTACCAGTGGCGGGTTGTTTTTTCAATCCCCGGATTTTTTTAGGGTCGGGGACGACGTCGGGGTGGTGTGGTGTATACTTGTTTTCCCGTTTTCCCGTGGAAACAACAAAACATGTATACACCAGGATGCCGTAGACACCAGAATCCGTTTTCTTGTGCGAATCTCAGTGCGGGACCGGAAACAAGCATCGGTGTATCAAGTTCGGGTCCTTATTTTTACTAGACGGCGTCGCGCGACGGGGTGATTTTGGTAGCTTTTCTGTTCTCTACAGGAGGCGGCTCGCGACGAGGCGCTGGCCCCCTTCTGCGCTGGGGAGGGATCCGGTCGGGAGCCTTGAGACGGGGGTCAATGCAAACGGGGGTCAGCCAGAGCGCCCGATCTTGCAGGATCCTGCAGGGCTAGGGTCGCATTGACTCGGGTTTGGGTGCAGG